TACTTGGTATCTTACTCAATAAGGGCTGTTCCGAAGTTAATACAGTTTCACTTAACTGTTGACCTCTCTTTCATCTGGTTTTCTATCTGATTAAAATATTCATTTATTTGCTGAAATCCTGCTATTATTATCTTCTGCATGTTAATCTGCGATGCCTTGTCTGTTTTCGTGCTATTTTTCCCAAATTTTGAGCCATTTCAATTTTTCCAATGAGTAGGGTTTATATAAATAATACTATATCCTTCACAAACGAAACCCACAATCAAAACTTCTCCTACGTTCTTCCTCCCGTCCATAGTCCATACACAGATGTTATCATATATAAATCAACTTTTAGCCCAGAAATTTAAAATACAACCATGGCGAAATTATCCTTTTTTCTTCAAAAAGCCAACAAAGTTCTATTGTCAGAGTCCCACACAGTCAAGCCAAAAAAGTCCAAACTACACCATGATCACAAGATTTCAGTCTCTCCAATAGATCTCCTTATAATCCGACTAAGATTCTTTCCATTAGTCCAAAGAATCCATAAAGAAAAATTCCAGTCCTGGTTTTCTTGGCTCCTCAGTCCAGTCGGTCAGGTCTCGATGTTTTGTTTCTTCCTCAGTCTCTTCTCATGCTTCTAAAAAAAGAGACTCATTCCTTCTTCTCCAAAAACAGGATAAACTTCTATTTTCAGAGTCCCAAGCTGGACCACAAAGTTTCAGTCTCATAAATCCTGTCCATCGGTATTACCCTCTGGGATTTTTTCAGAAACAAACAAGTTTTCCGTCACTGTCTCTCTTTTGACCTTGAACCAGCCTGCTGTTTAAGAATCAGAAGCAGACTGGTAAGCAAAAGCTCGCCACTCCTTTCCCTCTTTCGGCCAAATATTTTCACTCTGGATTTTTTTTTCAGCTCTAGGGAAAAAGATCCAGACTAAACAGCATTCACAAAATTTCAGTCCCTTAATGCCTGTCGAGTAGTATTTTCTCTGGGATTTTTTCCAGAAACGCAAAATGTTTGTCTCACTGTCTCTCTGTTTGACCTTGAGCCAGCCTGCTGTTTAAGAGTCCGTTTAGCTTTGAAGAAGCAGGCTGGCAAGCACGACTCGCTGCTCCTTCTCTTCTTTCAGTCAGGTATTTTCACTCTAGTTTCTTTTTCATCTTAAAGAGGTTATTCATAACTCAAAGGCATACTTTGTTATTGTATATTTTCAGCCGTATTTTTGTCCTCTCCTCAAGGAATGGGGGTGGAGTTACTCACAGCTATTCTGCCAAAAAATGGCTCCCGTCTCCAATCTGTGCTCGGGTGAATTTTCAGAGGGAAGAAAAATCCGGTTGCTGCCCAATCTTCTTCCTTCTGGTGCTCACCAACTGCTTCAGAGAGACCTCTCCTGGTCTCCCATTCGATCTCCTCATTTCTAGAGAGACCCCAGACCGGGCGGTTCCAGCTTTTTCTGGGAGCTGTTCCCAGCAGCTGCTGGCTCCGCCTCCCACGTTTGGTGGCGATCTCCTATACATCATCATTTATACTTTGAAGTCAATGTCGAAGCGAATGGGCAGTCAATGCAAGGCAGCCAGAGTGGTAGAGATATGCTGGTGTTTTCTCATTCTACTAAGTAGTCTGGCTACCGCGTTCTGCACCATTTGAATCTTCTGCATCAATCTCAAAGGTAGCCCCACGTAGAGCGCATTACAGTGATCTAATCTTGAGATTACGAGTGTGTGGACGAGAGTGATGAATTTCTCTGGTGAGTTTGTTATTACTGGTATTTGCCATATTAATTCTTTGTGCTGTATCTATATTTTGCTGTACTTCTATTTGCATCTCCATAAGCGGAGCTAAAATCTTAGTTTCCAATTGCACTGTATCTTCATCTTTTTGTTCTGGAATATTCTGGAATCTAAGTATGAGGTTGGCTCCCCCCATTTGTAATTTTAGCAGGTTGATTTCATCTTGGTTTCTTTCATGTTGTATCACTACCAGCTCTGCATTCATAGTCTTCATTTTTTCTGGGTTTTTAAAAGGCTTTTTCTATTTTAGCTATTTCTTTTTTATTTCTTTTTTATTTTCTATAATTTAGTGTTTAATATCAGTCATTTGAGTCCCTAAATCTTTTGATTGGTTCAGATAGCTGAGCCATTCCTCCTTGTGCCTTCTGTAATCCTGTGGATAACGTACAGCGGTGCCCCGCATAGCGACGATAATCCGTTCCAAAAAAATCATTGCTATACGGATTTGTCGCTATGTGGGGCAAAAAAGCCCATAGGAACACAATGAAACCCCTTCAATGTGTTCCTATGGGCAAAAAACGTACCATTCTGCGGAAATCCTCGATGCGGCTGCCATTTTCGCTGCCCGGTATGCGAGGAAAGGGCGCAAAAACACTGCGGGGGGACATTTTTTTCTGGTGGCCATTTTGGAACTGCCGATCAGCTGTTTTTAAACCAGCGAAGCGATGTTTTCCCATTCAAAACATTGTTATGCAATCACTTTTGCAATCGCAAAAACTCAATCGCTATGCAGATTCATCGTTAAACGAATCGCTTGTTATGCAGGGCACGACTGTATTTTGTATGCTTTGTTGCCAATCCTTAAGTGTCTCTTGCCCCAATAATTTCAGACTTTGTTCCTGTGCAGGTGAGCCTCTTGGATTTTTTTCTTTTCCTCCTTTCGCTGCCATACTTCCAATTTTTTTTTTTAAGATGCTGTTTGGGTCTTTTCCCATCAGGTGTCACAGTTGCCTTTCTTTTCTTTCATACAACACTGTTTACATAGCCCATCCAAAATGTAGATTAGTGCTTCTCTCTCCTTAAGATGTTAAGGAGAGAGGCACAGCCTGCCAGTCAAAACAATGAGTGTTTAAAATAACAGACAGTACCTTGAGGCAAGTAACATTAGCAGTTCAATCTTTCTCTCCAGCCTCAGTAATTAGGGGTAGGTAACCAGGGAGTAGAGTTTTGTCTTCTTTAAAACACTTTCTTTCATTTAATGTGCTTCTCCTTCCCTCCCCCTCCAATCAAAGCTACTCCAGACTACAGGAGGGAGGATCACCTTCACCACGGTGCCAAAGGAAACACAAAGGTGCATCTGATCCAGTGATGTTATGCAATCTAAGACTCTTCCTAAATTCCAAAGTTCAAAAGTTCTATTCTCTGATTCTAGTTTCATCCATCAGCATTGAAATCAGACAGTTTATGATTAGACTGTCCCGTGGAAGCGAGTCTTTGCCTTTGATTAAAACAGTTCATTCACTGAATAACTTCCTCCCCTCCTCCCTCTTTCTCCTTCTCTTTCTTCTCCTGATTAAGGCTAAAGGATGGGGGGGTAGGCTCGCTTCTACCATGGCTCAAAGAATTATAGGATCTAATCCGTTTTCACTGACTTGTTAAGCCCATCTTTCCTCTGTATCATTGTTTTTAGGTCCATAAAAGTTTCTTTATATAAAACACATATCTTGACTTGCTTAGAGTCCTGGACAGAATATTTTCCAAAATCCTCCTCTCTCTGAAAGGGGTGTTCCCAGCTCTTTGCCCAACATGGTTTCCTGCTTGGTCCATGCACTCAGATAAGACTTTGGGGGGGGGACCAGCTTCTTTCAACTTCTCTCCCCTTTCTGTTGCCTCTGTTGCTTCAGATGCCACTTTTCTTAGTGGACCGTCCTTTTACTCCCTACATTGGGGCCCTCGAAACTGAGGTGTCCTGTTCAGTTTCAGAAGCTCTCCCGAAACCCAACCAGTCTTGCCACAACAAAATCCCGCCTCCCACAGACCTTCCTATTTCCATCATTGTTGGCTTTCTTCATTTTGCAAACAAGTTTTAAAGGATGCCAATCTGATTTAAGTGATAGTTTGCTAAATGTTGAGCAAAATGAGAACACACTGATGTTTAATTCAATCCAATGGCTATACCAAAGGTAGGGAGTAAAAAGTTTGCAGCTTATCCCATAGCACTTAAAACACTCTCTGGGT